CGCACCTCCGCGGCAGGCCGCTCAGCACCTCGCGGGGAACCCGGCTCGGCTCGATCGGCCCTGCTCTGCAGGGGGGCGCGAGGCACCAGTGCCGACGTGCACGTAGTACGACGCAGTCATATCTATCTACGAGTCTACACCTCTGTGCACCTAACTAGATATATGTGCATGTGCATGTACATGGACGTGTACATATACATATGTAGATGTATGTTGTACGAATGTATGCGTGTATGAATGAATGAATGAATGAATGAATGAATGAATGAATGAATGAATGAATGAATGAATGAATGAATGAATGAAGGAGTGAGTGAGTGAGTGAGTGAGTGAATGAATGAATGAATGATTGCATGTACGTATGTATTATGTATGCATGAATGGATGTATGTACGTATGTGTGTATGTATGTTTGGCTGCTTGCATGCACGCATGCATGCATATATGTATGTATGGATGTGTGTATGCATGCTTCCACGTATGTATATACGTTGGCATGTTTGTATGCATGGATGTACGTATGTATGTACGTAGGTATGTATGCATGGATGTATGTATGAATGGATGAATGTATGTATGTACGTATGCGTGTATGTTTGTTTGTTTGCTTGCATGCACACATGCATGCATGCATGTATGTATGTATGGATGTATGTATGTGCGTGCGCATGTATCCACGTATGTATATATGTAGGTATGGTTGTATGCATGTATGTACGTGCGTATGTACGTATGTGTGTATGTATACATGCATGTATGTATGTATTCATACATGCATACATGCATGCATGCATGTATGTGTGTATGTATGGATGTATGCATGTATGTGTACGTGTGTAAGTGTGTATGTATGTATGTATGTATGGATGGATGGATGGATGTATGTATGGATGTATGCATGTGTGTATGTATGTATGTATGTATGTATGTATGTATGTATGTATGTATGTATGTATGTATGTATGTATGTATGTATGTATGTAGGTCGGTAGGTAGGTAGGTAGGTAGGTAGGTAGGTATGTATGTATGTATGTATGTATGTATGTATGAGTGTATGTATGCATGCATGTATGTATGGACACGTGGGCTCCTCTACTACATGGGACTCTTTCGAACTTCACGCCCTGCCCACCAAGCACCGCCAACACAAAGATGCACGCCACGCCACATGGCTGGAGACCATCGGCGACGGCGCCGCGCCCGCTACGCACTGTGCCCGCTCCTCCCCGAATCCGCCGACCCAGTCGGCGTGTGGAATGGGTTGTTCGTCGTGGTTGTTGTCCTCGTACGTACTCGTCGTCTTCTTTTCTGGGTCCGTCGCCCCTCCCCCGCTCTTTCCCTGGGCCCTCGTCCTCAAGCGCGCCAGCCAAAGCGAAATGAAGCAACCCAGCCAAAGCGAAATTAACAACGTTGTCATCGAGTCGAATGGAAGCCCCTTCCCTTTGATCCCTTCCCCGTGGGGGGGGGGGGGGGGGAAAGACCCGGTCCCGGGGGGGGGGTCGTCCCGGGGGGGGTCCCGGGGGGGTGGGTCCCGGGGGGGGTCCCGGGTCAGAATGCCATCCCCCGTTTGCGGCTTTTACAAAGGGGCCCTCTGTAGATGCGCTGCAGGAGGGGGGGTCGCCACGACGGATCCGCAAGAGCGCCCCTAGACGGCCCAAGCCCCACAAGATAGCCCAAGAACGCCTCAGGACGACCGAAGGACAGCCCGAGAACGCCTAAGGACGCCCAAGAACGCCCAAGTTACTTCTGCTCTGTCAGGGTGAGAATCCAAGCGGGGACGCCGCCCAGATACGTTTCCCCCTCGAGCGCCCCCGAAACCATGAAAAGCTGTTTCCAAAAGACCCCATCGCTGGTAAGTCGACGACGCAGAGGGTCCTCAAGCGCGAACAGCAGATGGAAGTGCTAATTGCGATCCAACGTCGTCGAAGGCACAGTGTAGAAAGTGTCGCAAACTGACGAGTGCAGGATGGATGGTGTGAAAGAGGAGCTGCCAATCCAAGCGAATGTGCAGCGGCCAGAAAACCGAGGAGGCAATTCAACTCGAAGCGAACTGAAGCGCAAACAGTCTGGTGCGAATTGGCGGCCCCTGATTCACCGAAGAGCGACGTCAGCCAAAGAAGCGCGAGAAGAACTGCAAGGTGTTGGATAGCACGCTGACGCAGCACGGTCCAGCAACAGACGGACGATCCCGCGGCCGTTTCCCCGCGATTCGGCAAACGCACAACATGTGCGCAGTGCCCACGCGGGACGGTAAGGGGACAAAAAAGTGGAATCCCCTCGTCGTCGATACCATCCTCGTCCCCCCCTTCCCCCCGACTCGAAGCTGGGCTCCGGCGTGGTGGAGACAGACCCTGGGGGGTCCACGTTTTTTCTGTCCTCTCGAGCCTGCGCTCGCGAACGCCTGGGAACAACCTTTGAATGTGGGGGGGGAGGGGAGGGGGCAGAGTCCAGGGTTCCGCTTGTTTCGGGGATGGACAGACCCCCCTTTAGTAAAACGTGGTTTAGTGAAAACGACCTGAGGCCCAAACCTGGCGGGCGCAAGCCTGGAAAATAACGGCCGCGGCGCCCCTCTTCGAGAACCGAAACGGACAATTCACTAATCGACGTGTCACTGTTGGGGGTTCTGTCCACCCCCGATTGTTTGTCCCTCTGCGGGAACGCCTCGCCCGCGCGAAGTCTGCGCGAGGAGCCTGGCCGGGGCGACCACCTCGCCCGCTCGCGCGCGGCCCCCCCATCGCCCACGGTGCCCGCCGCGCACACACGGGAGGCAACGTCCGGGCGAGACCTGCGCGCCGCTCTGGCGAGCGCGACGTTTCGCCCCTGGGCGCGCGACCCCCGTGCTCCTCCTCCTCCTCCTCCTCCTCCTCCTCCTCCTCCTCCACTTTCTCCTCCTATTCCTCTTCTCTCTTCTTCTTCCTCCTCCTCCTTCTCCTCCTCCTCCTCCTCCTCCTCTTCCTCGTCCGCTGCCCAGGTTCCGAGGGGGTCCACGAATTGGCCAGCAGACGCTGCACGGCGCGCCCGTGCGGGCCCCTCGGCTCTCGGGACTGAGCGTGCGGGGCGCCGAGGCGCGAGAGCGACGCGTCGCCCTGTCGCTCGCAGGCAGTCCGCCCCGCGCGGATGCCACGGCGCGCACTGGGCAGCGTCGACGCCCGAGCGTCCGTCATGAGAGCACACACTTTTTTTCTCGGCAGACAAATCCACCTCTCAAGAATCCGCTGCCCCTCGAGGAGGCTTTCCTGAACTCCGCGCACGACACACAGAACCTGGCAGAGAGCACACATGTCGAACGGAGGACGAACGTCTCGGATCTGGCCCCGGATCGGCCAGGGAGGCGACAGAGCGGGAGTGTGCAGCGACAGCGAAGCAGGCCAAACGCGCCAACCCCGTCGGCGTGTGCGAGAGGCTGTTTCGTTTGACTCGTCGTCGTCGGCGTCGTCGTCGTCGTCGTTGTCGTCCCCCCTCCTTTTCCCTGGGCACTCCTCCTTCAGCGCGCCGGCCACAGCGAAACAGCCTTAGCGAAATTGAACAACGCCGTAGTTCAGTCTAAGAGAAGCCCCTTCCATTTGATCCCTTCCCCGCTGGGGGGGCGAGGTCCTGGGGTCCCGAGGGGGGCCCCGGGTCAGAATACCATCCCCTCCAAGTGGTCCCAGGCCCAGGAGGCCCCCCAGAGGCCCCCAGGCGCCCCCAAGGAATCGCCGGGAAGCCCCAAGAGGCTCCCGACAGGCTCCCCAGACACCCCCAAAACTTTGTCGGGGTTCTTGGGCACCTCTTGGGAGCCTCGTGCAGCCTCTTGGGCATATTGGGGCACTTTTAGGAGCGTCTGATCCCGACCTTCCCGAATGGCTCTTCCATCTTTGGGGTCGTCGTCCAGGGTCGGCGGCACTGGCCGTGAGGCCGTAGCAGTTGGAAGCCAGGGGTGGCGTCAAGAGCACGAGCCAGACCGAGGGCAGGAGCAGGATGGGGCATAACCAGCGGGAGCAGCAGCAGGGGCAGCAGCGGGAGCATTTAGGTGCAGGACCAGGAGCAGGGCGAGGAGAAGGCGAGAGAGAGGGGAGGCGGAGCGAGAGCGCCAGCATGGTGCAGCCGTCAGGAAGTGGAGGTCGCCGTCCAGCCACTTGAGCGCAGAGGGCGGAGCTTCTCGGTCGTCGCTGGCCTGGCAGTCTCCTGCTCCTGCTCACTATTGGATATGCTCATGTTTCTCCTCCTTCTCCTCCGCCCCCTCCTCTTAGCCGTCACTTCCAGATCTCAGGCGATTTGGGAGGCAGCGCACGTGGAAGTGGCGCAGCTGCTTCGAACCTCCTTTCTACGCGTTCCTAGCCCATGTCGGGCGGCCGCGAATTTGAGGATGGTCGTGGTGGTGGTGGAAAGCACTTCCAAGCATGGCTCTACAATGGCACCCGCTGTCGGTAGGCCCACGTGCCGCAACCGCTGTCGCGAGTGTAGTGCGACCGGGCCACCCAGAATTCAGAGCCGGCTCCCGCCCACCGTGGGCGGACATCAGAACGTTGGCCCAGAGGCCACCAGGACATCAGAAGCTCGACGCCCGTGACAAGGGTCCAGGATGTGGAGCCAAAGCCGGCAACAACAGAGACGAGGAAAACATAAGCCTCTTCACATCCAGATCCTCGTCAAACTGCCGTGGGCCTATGAAACGCACTGGGTCAGTCCATGGACGAGGTGGTGGCCTTCGCGGAGAATCAAAGAAATCCACACGGACCTCCGAAAATTCATGCTGGTTCGACGTGCTCTTCCATGGCTCTTGGAAGCGCCTGGCCCCTCCCAGACAAGCAGCCGCCTCCAAACATCAAATTGCTGCATTACTCGCGATGACGCCCATGACCGGCCCCGCCCACCTCCCTCCACCCCCTGTTCACGTCACGACTCAAGCCGCCGCCGGCGCCACCTGGAAAGGAGCCATTCTGCAACCTGCCCGCGCGGGGCTGGCGCGAATCGCCACGTGACAAGCCCGCTCGCTCCCCTCCACCCCCCCCGTCACGCCCGTCATCGCCAGGGGATAAAAACGGTTCCTATGTATCGCCCGGGGATGAAAAAACGGCTCCTGGCAGAGGGCCGCCCCCAAGGACGAGGAGGAGGAGGAGGAGGCGGAGGAGGAGGAGGAAGAGGAGGAGGAGGCGGAGGAGCAATAGCAGCAGCAGCACCACCACCACCACCACCAGCAGCAGCAGCAGCAACCGCAGCAGCAGCAGCAGCAGCAGCAGCAGCAGCAGCAGCAGAAGCAGCAGAAGCAGCAGCAGGAGCCCCTCGCAGCGGGAGGTGCGAGGGCGGGGAGCCTCGGCCGGAGCGCCCGTCTCCAGGGCCCGCGACGTGCGGCGCCGAGGGCTCCGGCAGCGGCGCCCCCGCAAGGGCGCCAACGTCGTCTGCCTGCGCCTGCCACAGCCCGAAGGAGGCAGAGGCCAGCCTCCTCCTCCGTTTCCCTTCCCTGTGCAGGACTCCCCCTCCTCCTCATCCTCCTCCTCCTCCTCCTCCTCCTCCTCCTCCTCATCCTCCTCCGCCTCCTCCTCCACCTCCTCCTCCTCCTCCTCCTCCTCCGCCTCCTCCGCCTTCCTCCTCCTCCCCCTCCCCCTCCCTCCTCCTCCTCCTCCTCCTCCTCCTCCTCCTCCTCCTCCTCTTCCTCCTCCTCCGCTCCTTCTCCATGTGAATCCGCCGACCCCTTGGGGTTCATCGGCGTGTGAGATGTTCCCCCTCCCCAAACCCCTCCCCCGGGAGCCCGGTCCGGTCCATTTGGAGGGGGGGGGGGGGTCCGGCCGGACGGCCCCGGGCGGCCCGGAACCCCCCGGAGGTCTCGTCCGCTCCCGGAAATGGTGGCAAAAACACGTGAAAATCGTGTAGGGACGCGTCTGGTGGCCTCGAAATGAATTTGGGACGCCCCACTAGCGCTCCAAGACGTCCAAGTTGGCCCGAAAACGGGCCACGAGGCGCCCTCGACGGCAGAAGAGGTCCCCACGACCCCCCCCAAGGGCCTCCGAGATGCGTTCCACAAGGGTCCCTAGACGCAAAAATTGAGCCATTCCCTTCGTGAAATGTACATTTTTTAGAAATTCAGCTTTGGATCTTTCCGATGCTCCCCGACGGCCCAAGAGGCTCCCAAACCCGCTCCCAGACGGCCCCAGAAGCCTCGCAGAGGGTCGCCCACAGACCCCTAGAGGGCCCAAGATGGGCCAACAGGCGTCCAAGACGGCCCAAAAGGGCTCCGAAAACGGCCCCAAGAGCGTTCCAGGAGCGCTCCGAGCTGCCTCCACGAAGCTCCACATGGTCCCAGAAGGTCCAAGAGCGATCAGAAACATCGACGACGACTAAACGCATGCTTTTTCACACGTGCGCCTTTGGGGGTGTCCCCCGCTCCTGCACGGCCCCTGAGCCCCCAAAACCCGCTCCCAGACGGTCCCAGACGCCCCCAAGAGGGTCCGTACATAGCCCTCGAGGGCCCCAAGACGGGCCAACTGACGTCCAAGACGGCCCAAAAGGGCTCCGAAAACGGCTCCGAGAGCGCTCCAGGAGCGGTCCGAGCGGCCTCGACGAGAGCTCCACATGGTCCTCGACGGTCCAAGAGCGATCCAAAAAGCTGACGACGGCCTCCAGACGGCTGAAGAGGCCCCCAAGAAGCCCCAAGAGGCATCCACGATGCGCCCCAAAAGGGCCTCTAGACGCAAAAAATCCCTCGTTTCCTTCGTCAAACGTATATTGTTTCACACGTGCGCCTTTTGGGGTGTCCCCCGCTCCTGGACGGCCCCAGAGCCACCCAAACCCGCTCCCAGACGGCCCAAGACGCCTCCAAGAGGGTTCCCACAGAGCCCTCGAGGGCCCCAAGACGGGCCAACACACGTCCAAGACGGTCCAAAAGGGCTCCGAAAACGGCTCCGAGAGCGCTCCAGGAGCGGTCCGAGCGGCCTCGACGAGAGCTCCACGTGGTCCTCGACGGTCCAAGAGCGATCCAAAACGCTGACGACGGCCTCCAGACGGCTGAAGAGGCCCCCAAGACGCCCCAAGAGGCTTTCACGATGCGCCCCTGGAGGGCCTCTAGCTATATAAAATCGCCCGTTCTCTTCGTAAAACGTATATTTTCCGTACGCGCGCCTTTTGGGGTGCCCCCTGCTCCGTTGCGGCCCGAGAGCCTCCCAAGACCGCACCAAGATGGTCCAACAAGCCTCCACGAGGGCCCAGCGACAGGCCAAGAGGGCGCCAAGACGGGTCCAGAGAGGCCGAGGACGGCCCAAGAGAGCCGCGAAGACGACGCGCGCGCGACTCGCAGTTGGATTCCTCGCAACTTGCGTTGCTTCCCGCCGTGCTCGTCACTTGCCTCCGCAGGGCGTTTCGGCGGGTCTCTCCGCGGCGACCGTCCCGCCTTATAGCACTTGGCGCAAACCACCAGAGTGCCTCGGTGGAAATAATTCTTCTTCTGGGCTATCGACAGATGGCCGCCGTCAGTGAACGTAGGGTTTGATCCGTCCTTCTTCAGGGGACATGCGGAACATTCCAACTTCTTCGCCACCTGCCTTTGCTCGTGGCACGCTCGGCACACCACCGAGCGATGCTCCGAGCCCATCGCGAAGAAGTGCTCCACCTGCTTATCTGTCAGATGCGTCCTGCTACCCCCTCCCCCTGGGCCTGGAGAGGTCCCACCGCGGGTGGTCAGGGGAGTCCTTTTCGACTCCTGGGAGGGCTAAAAAAACGACACCCCTCACGAGGATTCTGGCCCCGACGGGGGGAGGAAGAAAAAACCCTCTCCTCGTCTTTGGAGCCAAAATCATTGATTGTACTACGGTTTTGGCCCCAGTTTGGCCTTCTGAGGGGGCAGCGCTCATTAAAGCTCCCCTCTTCCTTCAAGGCAAAATCATTGATGTTACGAAGGTTTTGGCCTCATTTTGCCCTTCTGAAGGGGCGGCGTTCATTAAAGCTCCCCTCTTCATTGATCGACTTCCTCCAAGATGGCCCCAAGAAGCGCTCAGGAGGCACACTGAGGCCCCAAGATGGCCCCAAGAGGCCCCCAGGAGGCCCCCAAGAGGCCTCCAAGAGGCCCCCAAGATGCCCCCAAGAGGCCCCCAAGAGGCCTCAAGAGGCTCCCCCGAGGCACCCAAGACGCTCCTGGAAGCCCCTGGGGCCGCCAAGGGGCCCCCAAGACGCCCCAAACGGCCTCCAAGAGGCTCCCAAGAGGCCCGAAGAGGCTCCCCCAAGGCACCCAAGACGCTCCTAGAAGCCCCTGGGGCCGCCAAGAGGCCCCCAAGACGCCCCAAAAGGGGACGAGGTGCCCGAACGCCTCACGCCACGAGGAGCCCGAACGACTCACACCAGGACGAGGGGCCCGAACGACTCACACCACGAAGAGCCCGAACGACTCACACCAGAAGGAGGGGCCCGAACGACTCACACCAGGACGAGGCGCCCGAACGACTCACACCACGAGGAGCCCGAACGACTCACACCACGACGAGGGCCCCGAACGACTCACACCACGAGGAGCCCGAACGAGTCACACCAGGAGGAGGGGCCCGAACGACTCACACCAGGACGAGGGGCCCGAACAACTCACACCACGAGAAGCCCGAACGACTCACACCAGGACGAAGAGCCCGAACGACTCACACCACGAAGAACCCGAACGACTCACACCAGGAAGAAGGGCCCGAACGACTCACACCAGGACGAGAAACCCCAAAAGACTCAAACCACGAGGAACGCTTTTTCTCCCTCCTCCTCCGCCTCGTCCTTCTCCCGCTCCCCCCACAAGGAGGATGTACAAGGAGGCGGGAGGAAGGAGTAACAGGGGAGATATGCGGGGGCAAGCGGACACGCGCCCAGGAGGCACCAAGAGGCCCCAAGATGGCCCCAAGAGGTCTCCAGGAGGCCCCCAAGAGGCCTCCAAGAGGCCCCCAAGATGCCCCCAAGAGGTCCCCAAGAGGCCCCAAGAGGCGCCGAAGACGCCCCAAGAGGCCTCCGAGCGGCTCCCAAAAGGCATCTACTACTACTACTACTACTCCTACGACGACTACTACTACTACTACTACTACTACTACTACTACTACTACTACTACTACTACTACTACTACTACTACTACTACTACTACTACTACTACTACTACTACTACTACTACTACTACTACTACTACTACTACTACTACTACTACTACTACTACTACTACTACTACTACTACTACTAGTTTTACTACATCATCTCCTACTACTACAAACTACAACTACTATTACGACTACTACTAGTTCTAGTCGTACTACTACTACTACTACTCCTACTACTACTACTACTACTACTACTACTACTACTACTACTACTACTACTATTACTACTACTACTACTACTACTACTGCGCACGAACGATGTCTGCAACCTACCACGAAGAGCCCGAAGGACTCACACCAGGAGGAGGGGCCCACTCGACTCACACCAGGACGAGGCGCCCGAACGACTCACACCACGAGGAGCCCGAACGACTCACACCAGGACGAGGGCCCCGAACGACTCACACCACGAGGAACCCGAACGACTCACACCAGGAGGAGGAGCCCGAACGACTCACACCAGGACGAGGGGCCCGAACAACTCACACCACGAGAAGCCCGAACGACTCACGCCAGGACGAAGAGCCCGAACGACTGAAACCACGACGAAGAGCCCGAACGACTCACACCAGGAAGGAGGGCCCGAACGACTCACACCAGGACGAGAGGCCCGAACGACTCAAACCACGAGGAGCCCGAACGGCTCACACCAGGACGAGGGGCCCGAACGACTCACACCACGAGGAGCCCGAACGACTCACACCAGGACGACGGGCCCGAAGGACTCACACAAGGACGATGGGGCCGAGCGACTCACCTCACGACGGGCCCCAACGACTCCCACCAGTCGTCGTCGTCGTCGTCGTCGACGTCGTCGTCGTCGTCGTCGTCGTCGTCGTCGTCGTCGCCGCCGCCTTCGTCGTCGTCGTCGTCGACGTCGTCGTCGTCGTCGTCGTCGTCCCGGTCATGGTCGTCGTCGTCGTCGCGGTCGATATCGTCGTCGTCGACGGGTGCGTCGTCGTTGTTAGGATCATCGCTTTGGTCGTCGTCTCCGCTAAATCCCTCTTGCCTCCCACCGCTTTCTCTCCCTCCTCCTCCGCCTCGTCCTTCTCCCGCTCCCACCACAAGGAGGATGTACAAGGAGGCGGGAGGAAGGAGGAACAAGGGAGATACGCGGGGGCAGGCGGAAACACGCCTGAAAAACACGACTCTCGGCATGCTTCGCAAGAGTTGCTGTTTTGAGATGGGCTGGTGGGGACACGCGAAGGGTGAAGAATTCTTCTTCTGGGCTATCGACAGATGGCCACCGTCAGTGAACGTAGGGTTTGATCCGTCCTTCTTCAGGGGACATGCGG